GCTTGCTTGAATGGGAGATCGTCGCGGCAGTTGGAAATGTACGGGGTGGAGGGGTGGACGACAGATTAGAGAAGAAAGAGGGAGGGGATGGAAAAAGTCTAGGTTTTTACAATTTTTTTTTAATTTTATTTTCTCGTTCTTTTTTCAGAAAAAAAATTCTTGTCACAAAGGTTATATATTATATAAAACCTCCAAATTTTATATTACTATATTATATAACCTAATTTTTAGTACGAAAAACCTCCAAATTTGAGTATATGTTGAATACTTATGCTGAGGTATGATGTTAATAAGGATTAAATTTTGAATATATGTCACGTATGCTTCAAAGTATATATTATATAACTTAATATTGAATATATACCTAGAATATGTTGATATCATACTATAAATTGGAATATATTATATAACTTAATAGTATATATACCAATAAAAAGTATATATTATATAACCATGTTTATTATACTATTGCAAACAAAGAAAAAAATAGACGTGAAAAAAAGACCAAGATAAAAAGAGGTAAAAAAGATTCCATGATATAGAGCACTATTGTTTATAGTTCATAAGTTTATGTGAGATTGATTTCGGTTGATCGATTCTTTATCATGAAATCGACACTTATTGTTTATACCCAGATATAGTTTATATCTATGAATAAATACCAAGTTGGTAGATAATTATGCTTCAATTATAAGAATTCAATAACCTGATATAGTTTATATATATTTGTATCGTCTATTGGGATATAGAAGTATATAATTTACTGACATACACACAATCGTAAAGTATTATTATTTGAATTGATTATTTCCATAATCCCTTAACATTAAATACAAAAAGATTAGTATAATAGATGTTAACAATTTAGTATAATATATCAATGAGTAAATTAAGGGATTATGAAATAAATGATTTGAGCCCCACAATAATTAAAAGTTTAGAAAATCAAATTAGGGGTTTAAATCTTTTACATTTAAATAAAAAAACTAACAAATAATAAATATAAATGTCACAAATAAGGGTAAAATCGACATTAATAAAAATTGCTAAATCCAGGAATGTAAAATTGGAAAACTTTAGGCCATTTATAAAAATAAGTTTCTAAAACATATCTTAAATTTATGCTACTAATATTTTAATTGGAAAACCATATTGGTCCAAAAAGTCATTTTCAACAATTCTATGACCTACCTTGAAAGAGTACAAGTTAGATACGTTTGGCTTGCAATAAATCTTTGATTGAAAATTTGAACAACTATATTGTTAGGTGCAAAATAGACCCACATTGACCTAAGCAGAAATTATGATGTGATGCACAATTAAATTAATTATGGACACACGTTGTCTATTATTAACATTTTCAATCTTTGTTAGTATCGGGTGAGAATCCTAAACCACAACTTTTTTAGTACATGAGTAGAAATTATGATGTGATGCACAATTAAATTATTGGCACGCTTTGTCTCTTAATAGTATTCTCAACTTTTTTTAGTGCATCGGATAGGATCCAAATCTACAACCTTTTTATCAGAAATGTATGTCTTAACCATTATAGTATCCTTGTTCGAAAGGTTAATTCGAATCCCCACCCCACCCCCAACATGTCATTATACTCGCACAAAAAATAAAATCATCAACTTTTATGTAATTGTTTTATCATTTAATGTTTGATATGACACCATGGATCTATAATAGTTAGAGGTGAACATAAAATTCCAAAAAATGTCAATCCGATCAATCAAAACCGATCAAATCGACATCAGTCGGTCGGTCTGACCACTAGTTTGGTTGGAGTCAATTTTTCCAATATCAAAACTATTAAGTTAGTCGATTGTTCATGTCGAAAAACTAAAAGCCAATCGACTCATCGACGTATAATTAAGATTTTTTTCTTTTTTGTTAAAAAATACACTCTGAAATAATTAGTGTTATTGCCAAAACCGACGTCGTTTTCTCAAAGGGACATCTTTTTTTTTTTAAGAAAGTTTTCTTTTAAATTTGTTCTTGAAGTTGACGTGAATCACACCTCTTCTCCTTTTTCCTCTTCTCATTTTTTTGTCATGGATGTAAGTTATATACTTTTTTTAAGTTCCAACACATGATGAGATGATTTTTTATAGGAGTTATATCTTTTCTATCTTCTTCATTTTCTTTTTTGGAATCCGTGTGTCCGGGCTAGCTTGCGCGCACCTCGACTAATCACGGATCAACTGCCTGACCCTACTACATTTGGTTGAAAATTATATCTTTTCTATGAAAAATTAAAAGGTGAGATGATTGATCAAGCTAAGACTGAGGTTTTGAATTAAAAAAAAAAAGACGTTGTGAAATTGACCTTTAAAAAAATCAAATTATTTAATGCATGCGGATGCAATGTAATTGTCATTAACTTAACTCAACTAACTGATTAAGTCATATATTCCCGTCAAGTTCAAATCTCAACTCCAATTATTATATTAAAAAAAAGATACATAGTTAAATATATTGTATTGTGTTATTTAATGTGATAGATGGAATATGTACTTATCATTCTTATCAATATAAAATATATTTTATACATGGTTAGAACTTGGAAAATATAAAATTATTTTTATATATTAAAGGGGCAAGGTGGGGTTGATCTTGTGGAGAATTTCTATCTTGATCCTTGCCTTATTCCCCTATTTTTTGTGGTTTCATAATTATAAAAAAATCAATATTAATAAACAATTAAGTGTACATATTTATATTAAATTTGAGAGAAAAATTAAACCTTGAATAATTTATTATTTTTATCTATTGGTTCTAAAAAAATATTTAATTGTTATGAAATTGATGAGTTAAACGAAACACAGCGAGTATACATAGAAATTTGGAAATTCAAAAATTACTTATATCATTTTGAATTTGTTTTTATTCCGATTTCATGTTCAAATATGATCCATAGATTGCCACTATTTGTAGACAATTTGGACAACCATGAAGTGTAACAATTGGACACTAGGACAGATGTGTGTGGATAATAAACATATGGAGTACATAGAGAATGAACACGTGGTATCACACCAACTTTTTCTAATTTAAGCATCGGAGTTGAGTTTGTGTGACTAGCACTGTGTAATCTCTTTACTTTTGCAGGTTTAATCAAATACATTTACTCAAGAGTCAAAACGAACATAGTTCAGTGGTAATTGACATATACCTTGAATCATGAGGTTGTGAGTTCGATCCCTCACCGCTCACCGCACATGTTGTACCAAAAAAATCCACTTATTCAAGAATAATGGTTCTAATAATTTGGTCAATCTTCTCGGTCAAATTGACACATCAACCATTATTAATACTTTTTCACTTTTCTATTTCTATTTATGTATTAATAAAAGTTCAGGGAAAATCATTTTTACCTTATTTACAACTTTTAAGTTTCACCAAATTGAACCTTAAGACTTAACAAATGTTACCATTTTTATCCTTCATTCAAGTTCTGTTAAATTTAATCACTCATATTAACAAGAGACAAGTAAAAATCTCCTAAAACTCACTATTTTCAAAGATCAATCATTGAACAAACCTCCCAAAATCCACGACTTAGTTTTAATTGAATCTCATCAATTTCATATCAAATATATATATGTTTTATAATTAATTAAATACACATAAGAATATTTAGTTTTTAACAAATGATAGTTTATTAAAAAATAAAAATTGTAACAATTATTTAAGTTCAAGGAAAGATTACAATACTTGTTAAAGTCTTAGCAATTAAAAGTTTGGGATAAAAAATAATATATCTTGCTAGGTTTGGAGTAAATTTTGATTTTTGTCCTGAAACTATAACATAATTTTTTTTAGTAAAATCTTAAACTAATAAACAATAAAGAGAGATAATTTATATTTTGTTTCAAACAAAAATATAGACTTAATTGGATTATTTTTTTATTTATAAAATAATTAAAGAATTTTCATGACATGGTAACTCCATTTTGGAAAAATTTCTAGTCTTTTTTTTAGTACAATACTGGGAATTGAGAGATCGAACTTATAACTTGGTTGGAGATATATGTCAATTACAACCTCATGTCACGTGTAAAATGTTTATTTTAAATAAAAAAATAACATACGTTCCTAAGTAGAGTCTACCTATTTAAAATAAAAATAATCTACATAATTCTCTCTCCCAATTTTAGTTGTAGATTCTCTCATTAATTACCAACTTCATTCTCTCTTTTTTTAATGGTAAATTCTATCTGATTTACTATCTCGAAAAAAAAAGGAAATCTATCGATTTAACTATCTTATTTATTTATTTTTTTTCCTTCATGTTTCTTCTCCACCATTTCTCTCACTAATTTTTCTCGTACGATAAGAATTTGGACGTGACTTTCAAATCCAAATTTGATTTTTTTGTTTAACATATGCTTGCAAGCAAACTCCATTAGCATATATCTCCAACCAAAATGTTGTGAGTTCAATCCCCACCTTCACATGTTGTACTAAAAAATATATATATAGTCATTTTCTTATAACAACCACGAGATAATATCTTATTTAACACATGGAATAGGGAAAATGGTCTAATATTAACTCTAGGTAAATTAAAAAAATACCCCTGAACTATAACATTTCTCACAAAAGTATCCTATCCTTTCAAAAGTTTTATATTACTCTTAATTTTTCAAAAGTTTCTTAGGTCAACGATGCCAAATTCTTCCCTTAATAAAAGTTTTGATTGAAACAATAAATATTGAAATCAAAGCAAACGTAGATTAGTTATAATTGATATATATTTCTAATCAAGAGATCGTGAATTTGATACCCCACCTCATATGTTGTACTCAAAGAAAAAAAAAATATTGAATAATTTTTTTTTTATTTTTTATTTTGTTTTAGGTGTCGGTATTTTTAATATCTTAATCAAATTGTCTGGATTTGGAAATCAAAATCATATATATATTTATTAAAATGAGTTAAATAAATATAATCAGCCTAGAGCACCAACTATTTTACAAATATTTATGAAAAGTTGTAACTACTAAATAGGTTTGTTACTACAAATATCCTTTCACTATACAAATATACCTTTCAAAACAAGACAAAGAAACCATCATAAGTTGGAATGGAATATTAAAATTACCACAGTTCCTCCCATTCATACACTACATTACTTCTGAAAGACCAAGCTACAAAATTCACTCAGATCAACATTCTTCACTAGACACTAAGGCTACTGTCAAAATCCGAGACCCTGTCGGGACAAAGTCGCTATTCGAACTCGGATCCACGAACCGGTTACACCGAACAAAACTGCTTTTCCAGGGCCTTGGTTACGTTAGTTTTCAGCAAATGGTTATGCTGTTGCCTTGGAATGTTAGCTAAGCTAGACAAGCAGCTGCTTTTGTTTCTCTCCATTATTTGTAACATCTAGTCCTTTCCAATTTCCTCTAAATGTTAGCAACAGAAGGCAAACAGTTTGGCAGGCAAGGCCACAAGTTAAGCCAATCCATAAGCCCTGCACAAAACAATCAAAACTTGCATAACCAAACCACAAGCTTGCTCTTCTTCTGTTTCAGAAACAATGAGTGTAAGAATCGTTTACCTTGGCGTATAGTTTGAACTTGAAACCGAGAACGACTGATGTCGTGAGGCCGACCATGTAGAATGTTGGGAGGTTTATATAAGTAGCCAAATGCTGCCAACCACAGCCTCTCGCCGCACCTGCAGTTGGAAGCAAGCATATGAGAAAGAAAGCACTTTTCAAAGGAAGGAAACAGAGACCACTGGCTTATTTGTACCTGATACCACTCCTTGTACCGATTCCAAGAGTATCGAAATCAGAAGAAAAGGGACCATTGAACCAAATTCCTCCGTGATCGTCGGACTATTACTGAAGAAGCTAGACCAGACATTGTGACCAAAACCTACTGCTAGAAGAACCACAAGTACGAGGAGGAGAGATATTTCTAGAGTCACTAACATGGCTTTCTTAGCTTTCCTAGTATTGCCTGCTCCAAGCTCGTTCGACACCCTCATGCTGACACAAATATCATAGTTTGTTTATTTCAGTCCAACAGAGAGAAAGCAGAGGAAAGAACACAACAACAATGAATGCTAATCTCTAGTAGCATACCTTGTAGCAGCACCGAGGCCATACGTGAGCGTGAAGGCGATACATTCTGTATTATCACTGTAATATCGGCCCAGAGTCATAAAAGCGAGTAAAAGTATATCATAGAAACAAGGTAAAAGTAGAGATATATACCACATTGCAAGTAGTGAGGTTGTTATTTCTGAGTCTGGCATCAGTCCAGCTAAGAACACCAAAATTTCAAAAGCCCAGTACTCCAAACTAGGAAATTTTAAACAACAAAAAACTGTAAGCAAGTGCATTAGATCAAGTCCTTTACTTCTTAGCCAGAAAGTTGGATGAAAAACATTGGGTGAAACTATTAAGACTTTTGAAAACTAAACTTAGTGAAAGCATAGCTAGGTATTATGATATATCCACTCATTGGGCACTTACCAAACCATTGCTGCAGACGGTATCGCTAGTTTGAGCGTCGTGAGAAAGTAGTTTAAGGATTCGGATGAAAGTCCTTCCCATGTTAGCTCAAACTTGTTTGTCTTAAACATATATGCCCCCAACATAAGACAAGATATCCACAAGGAAATGGAACTTGCCAAGGCAGGTCCCCTGATGCCAAGACTTGTACAATTCACCAAAACATATACTACACCAATGTGGATGATCATTGGCACAACTGAGAAGACAACCAAGGGCTTAACAATTGACTGTGTTTGAAGAAACCTCATGAGGTTTTGCAGAAAGCCATATGCAAATACTCCTGGAATCAAAAACTTAACATATGTGGCGGCGACTTTCGAAATGGCAGGATCTTGATGGAGTAAGATCAGGATGTGCTCAGTGTAGTACCATACGACACATACAATAACAAGAAAAAACAGAGACACAATGCAAGAGGCTTGCAGATACAACCCCAGCTTTCCATATTGTTTGGCACCAAATGCTTGCCCACAAAGTGTCTCGAGTGCTCCGCTAAGTCCTATCTATAAACAAAGAACAATTGAACGGATAAAAGGGAATAAGAGCATGAAGAGAAAGATAAGATGGGGATTAGTTTCATATATTTAGATATTTATATATATTTTGGTAATAGGGTACCGGGTTCCACCTTTGTATTAGGCTCATGGCCCACCCTACTCATCCCAGAAGAGGTTTCACCCACACAAGGCCAGCTCTAAGTGACCACTGATAGGCCCTAGTGAAGAAAGTGTGTTTGAGAAAGAGAGGAAGAGAAGGTGGAGGGTAGGCAAATAGAATGTGAGTTAGTGAGTCATTGTACGTTATGGGTTGTATGGGTATTTTGTAAAGGAAAATACTTGGTTAATGGTAAGGACTAAATCTTGTCCTCACCATTATTAAAAAATTGACAACTCATTATTTTACAAAAAATGTCATTATTTTTGTATTTCTCTCTCTTAATTGTGATGGTGAGAGCAAGATTGCTCCTTACCGTTGAGGAGCCAGCCAAGTATTTTCCTTTTGCAAATATGGAAAATACACTCATCCTCGGTGGAAGGCAGAAATATCTTTTTGTCGTTTCGTCGGGACTATTTGGGAGAGGTTCGGGAGCTTTCTAATTCTCTCTGGCTCCTTGTAATGCCTCTTTAATATCAATCATAGGAAAGAGTTCTATCCACAACAAATTATTAAATTTTCAACTTGGAGCTCAAACTCAACACCTTGGAGGATAATTTCCATTTTCGAAATATCCCAACACCACCAAGGCATTATTTCTAGGGGTGGGTGTCATACATTATAGACTTCAAGAATTTATCAACCCTGCAGATTGCTCTTGTGAACAGTAGGAATCCTTTTGAAGAGCATCATGAACAAACAGCTTAGAGACCAGAGAAGAGAGGAAACAGTATTCTATTATAGAGAGATGTCAAAACAAAGAGGAAAAATGCAGAGATTTGAAGTGATCATTCACTAGACTTCAAAAGTTAGGACTAAGAAACCTGTACCTTACTTTGAGCCAGAGGAAATCCAAAAATATGCCCTCTGTTTGGTCAAGTTATATATCATCTAAACAAAGGAACCACCCCAAAAGCAGTTTCTTATCTTTGACCAAAAACCTGAGAGGGTGTATTGGTCAAAAACTTGAGAGGGTGTATTTGGGAACGGCTAAAATCACTTTCCTCATTCTCAAAATCAGAGTAAATTAAAATTTTGATTTTAGAAAGTTTTAAATCACATTAAATTATTTGTATAAGTTTGGATGCTGATTTTAGAAAATCAATTATACTTAAAGTTTTAAAGGTTCTGCTTTTAAGCACATGGGTTTCAGAAACCTAAAAAAATCGGCAAGAAAGAACAATAAAACAAAGAAGGGGAAAATGGGACAGTAAGAGAAAAGTTACCATAAAAGCAAAGCCAGAGACGGTGGCCCAAGAGTTGCCGAGAGTTGCACCGGCGAGCTCGAGGTCACCAAGATGACCGGCGAACATGGCGGAAACCAGAGGGATTAAGTAATAGGAAGTATTGGTAACAATCATCGGCAGCGAAAACACGATTTGCGTCTTGGCCTCCTCGACGTCGATGAGTCTGTTCCACCACCGGATTCCGCCGCCCGTCGCCGCTTCTTCTCCGTCACAACGAAGCTCCAACAATGGCGCATTCTTCTCATCCTCCATTTTTGACCTCCCCACCATATCTCTCTCTCTACTGGTTAGAGTGAGAAGTTGAATTTGAGTACTGAAAAACACGAAGCCGAGAAATTGAAATAAATGGAGTGAAGGAGACGCAGAAAACAGAAATCGAAAAAGGAAAAAAAAAAAAAAAAACGAATGGCTAATGATTTTATTTTATTTTATTTCTTAATCTTAGTACAACAAATTATAAGATTGCCGGTTAGCCACGACCAGCACTGCAATATAATTCCGTCACGTGCTCTATTCAACTTTATTTATTTATTTATTCTTTTTTTTTTAAGATTCCATTCAACTTTTAAAAACTTACCCGAAACTTTAAACCATAATTCAGGATAATTGACATACATCTCTAATCAAGAGGTTGTGAGTGATTCTCCACTTCAGCACGTAGTACTAAAAAATCTTTAACACTTATCGGTCTTCTCAATGTATTAATAAAAGATTAAAGTGGTGGGTTAATTTCAATAATATCATCTACTTGGTCGCTTGTCAAATATTGAAAGATTCGAAGACAATTAGAATAATATTTTTGCTCAATAAACAAAGTTCATGGATCATATTTTTAATTTTAACCTTTTACATTTAGAATTATAGGTTAGTGATTAAACATTTGAGCTTATTGTATTTAGCTCCTCAAATTTATAAAATGTCTACTTTTGTCATGCTACTAACTTAAAAAAACGACATTAGAGTTGATTTCTTGGCTTAAATTTGTAAGATTTTGTAGAGTTATTTAACGGTAGATTTTATAATCAAATCTAATTTGAAAAACTTGATTTTTATTAAAATTGTGAGTTTTTGTGGTTTTTTTATGGAATAAAATGATAAAAATTATGACATTTATCTGAGTCTAGAATTACGAATTTAAATTTATTAAAAGAAATATGTTTAATGACATAAACTTAATTTAGATATTTTGTGAAAAGAAAAAAAAAAGTTAAAATTGTTTATTTTAAATGTAAAAAAATACATTTAAAAAAAACATCTTTAGAAAACTAAAATAGAAGATTCCAAGATAATAAAAATATATTAAATCAAAAGCGACTCACGATGATATGAGATGTTCGGCTGAATTTTGATAGAGAGACCTCCATATAGAATATTTTACCGATATCTTAATAAGACTCTTGTATTAATGGTTCAGATTTTTTAGGAATTTGTAAAGAAAAAGAAGTTAGAGAGTTATATATGTTATTACTTAATATTATAAGAAATAATAGCCCTAGCTACACAAGGTTTGGATTGATAATTTTGATTACATTGTCAAGTCACAAACTCACAAACTCACGGTTAAATGAGGAAAACTTGATAACTTTNAGAAAAAACAAAAGTATGTTAATCTTATAGATGTTAGGTTATGAAAATTTGCACACTCCCAATTTCAATTTTTTTTTTTTTATCAAAAATGTCACTAAATAAGATAAAAGGACAAGGAGGTCCACACCAAAAACAAGCGGCAATAATAAAAAAGGGTTTCCTCTTTTTATAAAATAATTAAGTGAAAAACACATGGGCGGTAAGAAATGACAAAAAAGCCCCTGACGTAGAGGGATAATACGCGACGCGGCGTCTCATGTGGATCTCTTTGCCTCACGTGTCCTGTTCTGTCCTTTCCTTACTTTCTTCTACAATTTTTTTTTTCACTAAAATGTTAAATTACAATTTTAAAAAACAGTTTTATGATATTTCCATCGAGATTTCCACGTTTCTATTAATATCGTTATTTAAAATCTTGATTTTATCTGATTAACCACGACTAAAAAAAACTTTCTTTTCCCTTGTAGACTTTCAGGTTTTTTTTTTCCCTTCTAATAAACTCATGTTTTTAATATTGATATTTAAATATTGACGTCAACTAGATAATTAAATGATAATTTCGACACAAAATGATATCGGTGACTCAAGACATAGATTAAAGACAACGTACTGTCAAATATTATTTAAAATGATATGATAAAGTAAAATAACTTTCCTTTCCTTTCCTTTGCAAGAAAAAGAACTTTACTTTTACATTTTTATAAAAATAGCACGGCTTCTTGACAAGTTGACATCACATACAATATTGCTTATCCCCTCAAAAAGGAAGAGAAGAAAACAAATTAAAACACAAAATACATTAAGTATTGTAACCATCATGAGATGGCTCAAGTGGTCAATAAGGGCCTTTGTTAGAGGGAATGAGTTAATAATCTATTTGATATGAATCTAAAAATAAGAAATGTAATTTGAATTTCTATTTTAATTAAAATGAACTAGACAATTTAATATTTTATATTATTTATTGTTATATATAATCTTAACGTCGAAACAATACCAAATTCAATAATTTCCGCAATATAAAGATGTTTATATTATTTATTTATACAACTTCTTGTTGGAGATATACGTCAATTACTACTAAACTATGATCGATTTGACGGTGCGCTTACATGCTTGTTTGACTTAAATTGCCATGGTTAATAATACAAAATAATTTGGGATATAATTTAACAAAAAGGAATCTTTATGGAAAATATTTTTTAAAATGGTATGTAGAATTAGAATGTAAAATTAAAATAAGCAATATAATTTAGGTCGAAATAAAAGTATAGTCTTTGAACTTTTTGTCTGGAAGGTCTATAAATTTCACGAAACAACTGCTCTGCTCAATCATGCTATATTTGGTTGTTAAGAAAATTCATAAAATATTAAATCTAGGTAGGTAGTCACCATATGATTTAAACTCATTTTTCTATATTTATATATATTTTTTTCTAACAGATGGGAACCGTGGATACCAAATCTTTTATCTAATAGGTCTATGAATTTTAAAATATTTCGAATAGGTTGGAGAAGTATTAGATATTTTGTTTTAGTTCAAGAACCTATTAGATACAACTTTATAAGTTCAATGACAAAATTTGTAATTTAAGTTAACATTTAATTAATATTTTGACACATTGTTTTTTTTTATAATTATGATTATTTAGCCTAATTTTTTTAGGTCTGATGCATAGAGAAAAAGTAAATAAATAAAAAAACAAAAAAAAATCCATTTATATTCCTAGGTTTAATAAATTAAAATCTTAAATTAATAATTGTATCAATTAAAAAACATTTGTAAGCGAGTCAATTTACCTCCCCCATTAATATATTTCATTTTGGAACTTTTAACACATAATTCTTGCAACATCAGTAGACTCTTTAGATACAATACTAACAAAATAATAAATAAAAATACTGTATTCATTTGATGCAGTGATCATCCGAATTCCATACTTGTATCCTTCCATGTGATTTGAATCCAAGACTTGAAAGTCTTCCGTTTAGGCCCCAAGTCACCCAAACTATCCATTGGGGACAGATTTAAATGAATATTGAATAAGTGGATTCAATGATTACCCATTCGGAGATTTGTCTTTTTAACTTTGGTATTTTTCGATTTTAAATTTGAAACTTTATAATGTATGATTAAATTAAAAAGAAAAAGAACTTAAAATATCATGAATATTATTTTATTTTATTTTTTCAAAATTAAAACATATAAAATATAATATATTATAAATTAGATATTATTGTAAAATAATAGTTATACAAAACTAAATATCCTAACAAGAAAGGAGCTGGCATTAATTGATTTCCAAAATTTTGATATCAAAAGTTTGTATACCTTTCCTTTTTAATTTCAAGTATTTAGAGAGGACACTAGGTAACAGTTGGTGTTAAGAATTAAAATTCACAGTTATTCCCAAGATTTTAGGCGTGAAATTAAGAGGGAAATGCGGTTGTACAATTATGCATTCGAACGTTAAAGTCGAGTTTGGAAATACTCTCAATACAAATAATCAAGTTCAGCTATTTACTGAGCAAGTTGTCTCCTGTGTAGTCTCCTGTCGAGTCGGAGATGACGAATGGAGCTCTACCTTCATCAGTATATATATTAATAAATTAATAAATAATATTTTACATCAAACTAAATATTGAATGGATAAGTATTACTAGTTCACAAAATAATAGAACACATCCAAGACTACGAACACATATTCGAAAATATTGAAAATTTGAAAACGATATTTCTTTCTTACTAAGTTTTTTATTTTCAGATCTATATTAAAAAACAAAAAAGGTCAATTTTATCTTAATGGCGCAGCACGGCGTGGTTCACGATTTCAGTACAAAAATGTAAAAAGGTTAAAAGTTAAAATAAAATCACGGCTCTCTCGTTGTCCTATTCACGTCACGTGACTGTCCTATCCTTGAGGCCATAATCGCGTGCATTTCGCTCAACGATTTGAACTTTTGTCGTCTTTGGAATTTTTTTTTTCTTTTTTTTTTTTTGGATAATAGTCGTAATTGGAATGGAATTCATTTGGTAACTAATTCATAAGTGATTAATAAATGGTGATATTCATTTTTCTATTTTAATTCTTAACTTTTTAAAATATGTATTTTAATCTCTAAATTTTTATATTTTATAGTGTAATTATTGAACTTTTAAAATATCTATTTAATCTCTCCTTTTAAATCATTATTTTAATATTTACTATCTTTTATTTATAATTATTTAATGAATATATTTAAGTTTGTTAATATGGTATATACTAGATGAGCATAGATGAGTTGAAGCACAAAATAATAGGAGAGAATAAAAATAAATTTTTTAACTAGACGTTTTGAATGTTTACTAACTAAAATTAAGGTAAAAAAAAGAGAAAAATGAAATAAAAAATATTCCAACGGTAACATCTTAGCCCAACACGCTCCCAATGAGGCGTCTTCAATGGTCCAATTTATTTCTCCTAAGCACATCCATCATATAATAATGGAGAGTATTGTGAATTGTATATAAAAAATAATAATAATAAATTAAATAAAAACCACGTGAATAAGAAAAAGCACGTGAATAAGGGAAAGCGAGCTTTTGTATGTCCTGACATGCATTAAATTCTTTTCAGCATTATTATTTTCTATCTGTTAATATCTCGATTAGTTTGCCCACACCTCGACTAATCTTAGGACAATTGTCTGACCTTACTACATTTAGTTGTTATGGAAACACGTATAAAATTAATTCTTATACAGGTGACTATCATGTGATAAGAACCATTATGTCTAAATCCTTTTGATTTAGGTCTATTTGGACCAATGAACTATCCATAATGATTTCTCTAACTTATTCCTTCACTAGAACCCACACCAAATATATTATTATGTTAATATTTTTTTTAAAGGTTAAAATGCACTTTTGGTTCCTATGCTTTCACTGAAGTAACAATTCAGTTTGACCTTTAGATTGTAACGATTTAGTGCTTATATTATCAAATTGTTAACAATTTAGTTTCTATAGTTTAAATTTTGCAACAATTAAATTTCTAGTGAGAAAAATCTCATCAAATTTAATTGTTGATTATTATTATTTAACAATTTAGTATTTGTAATTTATAAATATATTTGATACTATTGTTCGACGAGAAATTCAATAAAGAGAAACTCGAATTAATGAACTTGACTTGTATTGTATGTAGTATTACAATCTCTAATATATGATCATCTAATTAATTCTCTCAAATATGAACTTTAAAGTCTTCAACTATGAAACTTGATGCTTGGTAAAGTTTGTGGCTTGATGAAGTATTCGTCTTGCTTGGCGAAATCCGCAGCTTGATGAAGTACTTCGGCTCGTGAGGTCTTCGGCTTGTGAAGTCTTCGGCTCATAGCTTGAGAAGTTCTTCGATCGATTGCTTGGCAAAGAGAAGACTCAGAATTCTTGAAGTCTCGTAGTCTTCAGGTATTTGAGTCTTGTTGGTTCTAGATCTTTCGCACTCTGAATGGTTGTAAATGACTCCAAATGCTTTGAATCTCTGATGCTTATGGATCTCTCCAAATGATAAATGACCCCCTCTATTTATAGAGTTTTGATGGGTCTTGTATGAGCCATGAACTTGAACACAATCTCTTTATGGATTTGGTCCAATTACTTTGATTTCATCGGACGACCATAAGAGAGACACGTGGCATAATTTGATTCGTCGATTTTAAAATTAATTTAGGACACTTGTAAATTTAGAATTTGTCATAAATATAATTTTAAATTGATGACGTGATAATTAATTATTGACTAAATTTTATCATTCAACACCTATCAATCTTACATACAAGAAATTCTATGTCATTTTAACAATATTTTTTAAATAGAGATTAAATCATAACAAAATTTAAACATTTTTTAACCTTTTTCAAATATCAAATTCATTTCTCCAATCGCATACTAACACGTGGCCATAAACTAGTATTTGGTCTTATTCCTCCTCAAATAGCGAAGAAGAAAATTTTGTAAGAAATCAGATAGCCCTGTCATTTATTTCCCACAATTTGTAAAATTTTTTCTTTGTGACGTTGTATTTGTAAATCTATTCAAAGGGGAGGTTTTATCTTTTGTTCTCACCTGTCTTAAACCTTGTAAGTATTGTTCTTGAATACATAAAAAGAATTTTATAACGGTTTGATTTTGAACTGTGAAAAGAGTAACCTTTGTTTTTCCTCCCAAAAAAGAATAACGAGCAGCATACCTATGTCTTCACGTAGAGACTCGTTTCCCTAAGGTAGCGGTTGGGTGCCGTGGTTTGTGCTGCTATGGCAGGGGAGATGGATGCTGGAGGCATGGTGAAGGATTGGAGGAAACTAAAATTGACGAATGATTTTGTAAATTAGCAGCATACATAAACATATGTTATTTTTTAGTATTTTGAATTTGGATGGTTTTTAAATTATGCAAACACGTAGGTATTTAAAGTTTAGATTATTTATGTAGTTGAAATGTCTTTAAATTGATTCAATTAATTTTGTATTATATTTGATACATTTTTGTGAGGGGTTATTATAATGTATACATAGACAAAACCTAGTTTATAAATTTAATAACATTCATATATATTTCATGTAAAAACATGAAGTTAATTTTTTGTAACAAAAAATTTGGTGCAAACACACCTTACTTAATGACTCAATGTCTACGACGTAATAGGTATGATAGCAAAGTTTCGAAATTATTTTGAATTTTTGTCAAAATGATTATTGAAAATTTATCGAAGTCAAATAAAATAGAATATTTGGAAGTTGGGCCACTAAAATATAACCATCAAAACAAAATAAGTACCAAATTTTATAAGACCAAAGTGAGATTTAAGAAAGAATTTTTTTTTTTATTCATTAAGAAAGAACTAATTGATAGAGAACAAATAAGAAAAATCCTTGCCAAGAAATTTGCATGGAAACATTGAATGCAGTTAGCGGTGGATTCATAATTTTTTTCAAGGAGTTTTACATAACTTTCAGTAAATATGCACAACCAACTTATTCTCGAATTTTTAATTTAATTGTTGATCCAATGTTAGGGGAATTGCATGCCACACTCGAGTGGTGGCGTAGTGACCTGTGACTAAATGGAGATACCCTCTCCCAAGTTTGAGCTCCGCGGGATGCGTAGTTGGAGATTTCTCCACGAGTCCCGCAACATTGGTAAAAAAAAATGTACGTTCGGTTTATATACTTTGATACTAAATTAGTTAAGTTACAAGTTTTTTCTTTAAAGTTTCAATATTGTGTTTAATAGATCTCTCAACTTCAAAAAATTATAATAAATTTTTAAACTTTCAATTTAGCTTGTAGTCTATGAACTTAGAAAAAGAAAAAAAAAATCGTAAACATAGTAATACAACCTCAAAACAGATCCTGTGTCGTTTGAACCAATAAATTTTTAAGTTCTCAAAAAAGTCCAATAGATTGAGGATCTATCAAACATAAAATTAAAAACTCGAGAACCTATTAGATGTAAAAATGAAAGTTAAGAGATCCATTGAATATTTTTTTAAGTTTAGGAACCTATAAAATACAACTATAAATATTTATGAACCAAATTTATAATTTATTAAATTAAAGTTATTCAATAGAACTAGGACACATAACAAATTGTTATACGTAAATATGAAAGAAAAATAATGAAATTTGAAATAATAAATTAATTTTTCGCCTTTTATAAGAATTATAGATTTTTTTATGCAATAAATCATTTTAAAAAATAATTTACTGAAATGATTTTTTTATTATTTCTATTTATATTTAATACCAAGAAAAAATATCAAGTTTAAAAAACAAAACTTAATTAAAAGTAATAATTAATACTCATTTGAAGGCTGCGAGTCTAAAACAAGGAATTCGATGGGAGGCTTGAGCTTTCAGGAAGGGCATGACCACTGCACCACTAGACAATTATTTATTCAATATTGTCCAAAAGTTGAGGGGGGCTCGAGCTCCCGAGCCCAGCATACATCCGCCCCTCGATGCAGCGGGAGTTTATTGAAGGCAGCATAAGGGGTGATTATATGGAACAAGATTGTGCATATTAAAATGTATCTTACAGAATCGAATGGCTCAAAGTCGAGATGTCGATTTTTTTGGTTGTGTTACTTTACGATAGTCGTATACGCCTATTCCTCGCTTTCTTCCCAGGCGACCAGCATCGACATACTGCACGAGAAGAGGGCACGGAGCATATTTACCATCACCAAGTCCAGAGTGAAGAACCTTCATGATTGATAAACAGACATCCAAACCAATGAAGTCTGCAAGCTCCAAGGGACCCATGGGATGATTTGTTCCTAGCTTCATTCCTGTATCGATGTCTTCCTTCGTTGCCACCCCCGTGTAGAGAGCGAAAAACGCCTCATTAATCATTGGAATCAGGATTCTGTTCACAATGAAGCCAGAGTAGTCCTGAGAGCATATCACTGTTTTGCCAAGCCTGAAAGTAAAGAAGTTAAAGCTTATTATTAGTTTTAATGATGTCACAGAACTATATCGACATTGGCAAGATGAACGTGACATTGAAATAGAGAGAGTCGTTAACCAACTCATGTACCAAATGCAGTGATAGAAAAGAAGAAAACTGATGGTGAAGGAAAGACAAAGGCGACGTTAAGAGTAAGTGTGTCACTATCACCTCTCTGCCAAGGTTTTTATGGCATCAAACGTTTCATTGGATGTATCTGCACCTCGAACGATCTCAACCAACTTCATTATTGGTGGGGGATTCATGAAATGCATGCCAATGACCTGCAATGGCGTTGAATGTTTCATTTATGGCTCTATAATCTCAAGCAATCTCATTCTCTTTTATTGAAAAGACAACTTTTATTAAGAACGAATGAAAGAATACAAGAGGGCAAGCCCAAGTCAAAAAAGCCAAAAAGAACCCAAAACAAAAGAAAACGGAAAGAAAAGCAAATAACCAAGAGAGTTTTCAATTCAAAAAAATGAGAGATAGAGGACAATCACTAATGTGTGACGGAAGCCCAAAGGGAGATCTCATTCTAACTTGCAATTTCATCAATGACATGTTTCCCCAACCACATCATGCGTGCTTAGGTAGTAAAATCTATCTATAAAATGACAATTAAAAGAAAAACTGCAGTTATATGCTTACGGTTTGTATCAGCATTCATGCATTTAAGGCCATAAGGGGGAAGAGAAGGCGAAACCTGCTTAGGACGTGTGGTTGCTGATGCTAAGCGAGTGATAGGGATGGAACTCGTATTAGAAGCTAGTATACCGGAGCGTTTTACAATCTTATCTAGTTCAAGAAATAGCCTTCTTTTGACATCTTCTGATTCCACAATAGCTTCGATTACAACATCCGCTGAATGAAGCTCTTTCAAATCAGTTGAGAACTTTAAACGTTGAAGAGCACTGACACTGACTTCCTGTAAGGTGGATTTAACAAGCTGATTAAATGTCTACGCTCAGACGGTAGAATTTTAATTAGAGTAACAAAGAAGTTTGGACAACAACAACTATGTTTTAATGTGGTATGTCAACCTTTCCACGTTAAATGTCAATACATAGCAACTCAGTTTTTCAGTACGGATGAACTCGTGCTCAATGGAGATGAAACATTTATTTTGCATAAAAAATTGAAAAAGAGCATTGGTAGAGACATGCTATTGGTAATACTAATAAAAGAGGAAGAAATACAGAGATTAACTAGACATTCAAGAGGCTATATCCCACACTCCGCCCAAATATTTGCTTAACCCTCATCCTCCATAATTCACATTATTAATGACCACCTTTATGCTAGACAAGCCCACCTACTGATATATCCCAAGTTAATCCTATCATAACACATGCCCAGTAATTAGCATATAACCATTTTATACCGTGAGTATCCAGATTTGCTTACACGTAGCTCAACATATAGAATTTAAATATCCTAGATAGATGGTAGATAGGTGTCCACCATGGGTTGAACCTGCAGTCTCATAGTCACTTTACTTTTTTAGCCTGCCCAAGAAAATAGTTCAACATATTTGTAATATTTCCAGCTAATCAAGAAAGATCCTATCATGTTGTTCATTCTAGTCATATCACTCATTAGCTTTTTATTATAATCATACTATTGCTGTATACCGCCTGTGATATATTGCAACAGCAGGCCATAAACTTTCCTCTCAATTACATTTCTCTATTGCTACAGAAAATGAAAAAGATGCTAACTCAGAGAAAATGTATTGAGGCCTTACCACTCTCCATTTCTGAAACCTTTCCTCTAAGGATTTATTTGATAATGATCATGGCTGTTGTAACTGTTTAATGTACAAATATGAAGAGCTATAAGAAAGTGGATTGGGTTCAATCCATATCATCTTGTGGCTTCTTCAGAAGTTCAAAAGAAGCTCACCAAGGTACACTCTTGTTTCATTAGTTCCATCCGCTCAAATCTCCCCTTGTGGTCTTATGTCCTCTGAATGAGTCTATTTCCAAGTTCAATCACTGATCTATTTCAAAATATCAAGTGGACTTAGCCAAGCCTTGGCTCAAGACCCCACAATTTTTCATATTTGGTACTGATACTGAGTAGCATCCAAATGTGCCAAAGTCTATCATTGATCTCGTTGGCTTCTTTGCGTTGACTTAGTTTCCAACTTGGGCTAGTGCCTTATCCTTTCAGGTCATGGCAGTATCAAGATTTCCTAGTCCTTCAGTATGGAATGGTACAGCAATACCACAAACTCCTCTGCACAAACATGGAATGTGAAAGGGATTCTCTCATTTATTTTCTCCGAAGTAGTATATTGTTGTTAAACCGTAGAAGAAAGGGTATCAATGGATTGCGACCTCATAACTCCATAGAATCGAAACCTAATTATTGTTACTAGTGACTCTCTGCAATTGATCAGTTAAGAGCTTTTACACAGAGCAGCGAAACAACATAAAATTCCTAATATAAACACTCAAATCCGTCCAGCCAAAACTAATCAGAAATCACATTTAACCGATTGCCTCTTGGACTAGATACATAAAACGAGATACAGTATCAACGTAAATCAGCTTGGTTCAACCAAAACGTCAACCTAATCATAATAAGTAGATCACGGCGCACATATGAAAAATAAGTTCCACTCAGGTACTGATTCCAACCAGGCGGAGAAATCGAAGGTAGAGATTCTTACTTGAGAGAGAAGGTTTTTGGAAACTAGGCGTTGGATTGAGGCGGAGATGGATTCATTTGCTTTAGCGAGCGCAGCAGGGTCTGAATCGATTAGCCATACTTGGCAACCGTGTGTGGCGGCGAGTTGAGCAATTCCGGAGCCCATCTGACCGCCGCCGACCACTCCGATGGTCCTGATTTCCATCGTCGAGCAACTGCGAAATCCGCCGGCGAGGTGGATCGGATTATGAACTCGTGCTCAATCGAGATGAAACATAAATACAAATGTCAAAAGCTATAAATTTAGTAAAAAAAAAAAAGAAAGAACACATTTGATTGATTTTTGTGTTTGTAAAGATTTAGTCACTTTGGTAACAATTGAGTACTTCAATTTTCTAACGATTTAGTCATAATTTGGAAGCTGTCTCTGCTATAAAAAATCTCCGATTAAGCTTCCAATATTTAGAGAGCAATCTTATTACTAATTTAAAATACAGATACTAAATCATTAGTAATCAGAATTCATGATCTAAATCGTTATTTCGATAAAAGTACAAGAACCAAAAGTATTTTTAATCTAAAAATTTAGAATCATTTTGTTTTTTATCGTCTATTTTCTTAAATTAAGCTGAGTAACATTACTTTCACATATGTGTTCTTTAACTTTGTTATATTACTTTTATAAATGTTTTCAAATTTTAGGTCAAAATTTTTTAAATAAATAACAATAGATTTTAGAGAATTTTTTTTCAATTTAGCTAATAATTCAAAATATATTTTCAACCGTCAAGAAAAAACTTACCAATAAAACTGTACAAAAGTAAGTAGTGTACTTACTTTTAAAAACCGAAAAATTAAAAATAAAATAGTTATCTACCCGCCGCTAAATTTGGAGAGTTACGTATATTTGGTTTTGGATTTTATTAGTAGTAGTGGCCTGAATTGTTGGATAGACATTAATTTCAAGTGACATTGCCATGAATCGCTTAAATAAAGTTGTTTCTTAAATTTGAGAGTTGTCTAAGAACTCTCTAGATTGGTAGAGGGAGATGAGATTAAGACAACAATAAATAATGCAATTGAGACCTAAAGACCTTGAAAATTAGGGAGAAGCTTTAATGACAAGAGGTAGACAAGAAAAAGAAAACTTCAGGAAGCTATAATAATCGAGGTGAATCTACGTCCCAAAAGGTAAAGTAAAGAGATGCTTTTATTACGATAGAGAGAGCGTATTAGAAGAAATTGCTATGAATTGAAAATTAAGAGGAAAACTTGACCGAAGAAAGAAGAAGAATCTCCTAATGCTGCAAATGTAACTTAAAATTAATTTCTGGTTCTAAGATTTGACTTCGTTTTCATTTGATCCTTAAAGTTTCGAACGTGACATGTTTGGTGTTTGAAGTTTAAATTTCTTAATTGTTGGTTTCTAATTAGTCTTTGGGATTTGAACCATAATGGTGTGGCCAGGAAGTAATTGGTTCAAACCATGGTTGCCACCTAACTAGGATTTAATATCCTACAAGCTAAGTTACCTTGGTAATCGAATGAAATAGGGTCAAGGCGGTTATCCCGTGAGATTAGTAGAGGTGCTCGCAAGCTAACTTGGACACTTACAGTTATCAAAAAATTGACTAAGCTTCTTTGATTTATATATTTTTTAAATGAATTGACAAATTTTCTTATTTTCTTTTCTTAAGYGGCATTTGTCTCTTCTCCTCTTCCTCCCTCCATTCTCTTCTCCTTCCTTTTTGCTTCTCTTCTTCCCTTTAAATGGATCTGAATTTGATGAATCTGGGTCGAATTAGGGCACTTGCAAACGATGCGAAAGTCGTGCTGCTAAGGTTGGTTTGGAAAAATTACGGAGTTTGTATAAAAAGATTTAGGACATATTTGATAATGATTTTAGAATAAGTGATTTTAGATTTAATGATAATTGATATTGTGAAAGTGATTTTTATATAGTTATTTTAACCGTTTGGTTACACAAATTTTCAACTAATATTTATATAATCAAAAATGTTTAAGGATAGAATTTGACAAAAATTTTAGCGCATTAAATATAGGATGAAAACTAAAAATTTAGAGAAATATTTAAAAATTTTAAAGGAAACTGAGAGAGAATAAATAAAATTAAAGATAAATAAAGTACARAGAGTGACAAAAATTTTAGAAATGAAAAAAAATAAAATTTCTCAAATTTTAAGGTGAAATAGAAAAATAAATTTAAAATTTAAATCAATAACCATTTTAAAAAATAATTTCCTATTAATTTTTTTTTTCTTTTTTATCAAAAAATCACTTGAGAATCACCTCCCATGGGGAATCATTTTGATTTCAAATTTTTTATAAAATCAATTGATAATTGTTGCCAAACATATCATTTTGATATTAATAAAAGTGATTTAGTAATGCTAAAATCACTCCCAAACATGTCCTTATAGAAAAGAAAATAATAAAAATAAATTTTCATATTCATCAATTTTCTTGGAGGACAGGCAACAAGTGTGAATACCTTGATTTGGATATTCATATCATTCTCCCCTTCTTTGAAAAGATTCGTCCTCGAATCTAAAGGATCTCCTCGCATGACAAATTTGAAGTTATGATTCCACGGTCTTGCATTATTTGGATCCCCCTCCACTTGGGGATTTTTGGTCTTGGATGCGGAGTGAAGGTGGAATGATGCTTCTTATATAGCTTCATGGATTCATTTGTCCCATATAAACRACATTGACTCATTTTAGAAGCAACTCTTGACTTCTACTTTTCAATAAGCAATTTAACCTCCTGCAMGAATTCAAAAGAAAATCTTGTTACACTTGGTTTAAGTGTATCCGTTAGAAAGCAACTTTGTTTAGTTACAATCTCCTATATATGTCGTTTTGAAAACAAAACAATACTAGCTTTAGAAACTCTCGTAACTGGACCCTTTTTCTCATCAACAATTTTCCCTCTTGGTTTTCACTTTTTTTTACCCTCTTCGTTTTTTCTACTACTTTTGTCTCAACCTCTTTTTTAGAGCATAACTTCTTACAATCTTCGGTTGTCTCCTCATCACACATAACAACCTCATTATTTGAATCTTCCCTTTTGGCATCATACATAATGACCTCAACATTGTCCGAATCATCCTTTTGGAGATTTGGATGTTCTCTCTCATATTTGATTGATCTGTCATCCTCTTGGGCATACATAACAATCTCAACTTTCGTCTCTTCCTCGGGATTTGGATGTTCTCTCTCATTTTGAATTGATTTGTCATCCTTTTGAGGCTCGGGAAAATCTCACTCTTTCTAAATAGATTGTGCAGCTTGTCTCCCCATGGCCATGTCCTTCAATTTTAATTCTTGATTTAACTTGGAAATGTACTTCATGGATCGACACATTTCAACCAAGCTTTCTATCATAACCTTCCAAAATGGATCCTCACTAATATGATGATTCTCATGACATCTTCGCCTTTCGTGAAACATTATGACTTTTAATATTTCAAATTCCAGCAAGTCTTATAGTATTCTTATGAAAATCATGCAAGAACATTTCAATATAGCCTAGAATGTGAAAAGTGACAAAATATCTCAAATTTAGGAAACACAGAAAGATTTTTTAAATAAGAAAAAATAGAATGGAAAAGAAAGAGATATGAGTGAACTGGTGTGAATCAAAAGAAGATGATAAGTAACCTTTTTTTTTTCAGGCAAGCAAGATAAAAGATGAAGCAAAGATGAGAAGATCAAGAGTCACACGAAATATAATTAGATATGGTTGAAAGTAAAAATAAAGAAAGAAGAAAAAGAATGTAAAGCAAATAAAGATATAATTTGTTTAGAACCAAAGCTCTRATACCAAATGATAAATGAACTATTTCAATTATGCATGAGAACTCCTTTATTCAAGGTGAACCCCTATAACAATAATAAGAATAACCTCAATAATAAGATGATAAACCAACCCYAAGAAAATTAAAACAKATTTATGCTTGGAAAGATATGATCAAAGATCAAGAATAAATGAGAACTTGTTCCTATATTCAAGATTTCGAACTCTCCACATCCTAATTGATCAAACTAGATTGAAAGTTCTAAAACATGCATTCTAACACAAGATACAAAGAAAACTTAAAACTTGAGAGAGATTAAACTCAAAATGGTGTGTTTGAAAAGCAAATTTACATACATGTTTATAGTCTAAGTTCAGCCCACACCCTTTCAAATCCATACATGAACCGTACTAAATGCAAATACATGAATTTGAAAGATATATGATGTATTAAATATGTGAATGRATCTGGATTTTTAGATTCATGAATTTTCTTGGAGGACAAGATGTCTTTTCAAACCTGAAGGGATGCAACTCTTATACCATATATGAATGTATTCTTTGACGTGTGCTCATTACTTTAAAATCACTTGTTGATTTTAAGTTCATTGAATTAAACTGAGAACTTGTTGTTTCAAAATTATGTAACTTCAGGTGTATATTTATCAAATTTTACTTTCAAACATATATACCTAATATGAATCTTCATGATTCACGACATCRACACATAGATTTCATCCATAACAATTAATGTCATAACTCTGTCATTTTGGCATGGTAAGACTTTTATGAATATATATTAAATATGTAAAACAACGTATAATTTACTAACATCRTAATAAATATCAAAACAAATAACGTAGTTTGATTTGTTGCTTTAATATTCTTCATATACTGCTAAGGAACTTTTTACCATATACAATATAATTAATATAATCACTTATKTTCTTTAATACCTTACCAAACATTCCATTTTGGTTGYTTTATCAAATGCCATTTCTTTCCAACCCTTTAACTACCTTACTTCTTATGTACCTTTTCCTTTAGAAAAAAAGGACCCCAAATATTGTCGAATCTATTTATATTTGCCCATTTTACAAATTCTAATCCAACATTGTATTTCAATAAATATTATAAAGTTTATCTCAAAGATTATATAACTAAATACAAAAGCATCTAAACCAATAAATMATCTAGATAAAATAGGTAATACAAAAACAATAACCTAAGATTGCACATCCTAGAAGAAAAAAAAATTAAGTGTGTCTGATGTCACATAACTTTCTCGTCAATTTTTCGAAAAACATATGAACTTCTGTAACCATGGTATTAAATATTGGTCAACATGTCGACATTTTCATCGACAATTCCATGTATCTACGGGTCCGACATCGACATGAGGGATAAATTGATATTTCCATAATATTATAAAACAAATCAGACACAATAGTAAAAATATCAACAAAATCTCACTAATATAAATATAATATTAATATTAATTATTTTAAACTTATTCAGAAAAGGGTGAAATTC